TTGTTAGTCTGTAAAATGAAAGTTTTTGACTAGATGATCTCTAGAGTGTTTCCTTCCTCTGACCTTCTTTTATTCTATGATTCATTATATAATTTCATGGATAAATATCCAAGCAGTTTACTTTTTTTGTAGCTTCGCAATATCCTTCTTAAAAATGAAAAAGCATATGGTTCTACCTTTGCAAACTCTTATGTCTTATCCATAATAGAAAAGTGTAACAAATTAATAATTGTGTACATTGATTTTTTTTATCCCAGTTTCAAAAACATGTAATTACTGTATGGTATAAAAGTTTTCCTTGTTTTAGGCATTAGTATTGATACACCTAAAGTAAAGCACTGCTCCTTTTGATGCACCATAGATCTCAGATCTTATCGTGGCTATTTCCTACATGCCTATAACTCATGGGCGTGAATTCTCCAAAGAAACATCAGTGACTGGCGTTTATATTCACTTGGTCATTCCATGGCAAGACTTAATGTTCTAAATATAGGTTTAAAATTTTTCATTTTATAATAGCATCCTAATGCTTCTAAAACCTCTTTAATTGTAACTAGTTAAGAGTAGCTTTCTTTTTAAGAAAAGAGGTTGATTTTATAAATTTATGAGTAAATGTATCCCATCCCTTTAATTTTATAGCTTTCTTGTAAGTTTTGATGTCTTTGTTAACTTTTAGGTTTTATTCCAAATAAATGATCAACAACTTTTCCATAAAGAAGACTTTGATTAATGCCAATTTTTATCTCTTAAAAGGATCCTTCCCGGCCATTGGGGTGGAGGCGTTTTGCCCCAGCTTCCTGAGGGCGGGGTTTTTAAATAGCATCCAGGCCCCGCATCCAGTGCCAGGGGGAGGATCTCTGCCCCCCAGGATTCCTGCTGGTAGGTATTTCAGGTGAAGTTTTCTGCCACCATATACACCAGTAGGACTGTGCTCAAAATTGATAGACCCACAATACAAAAATGAATATTTCTGAAATATATTCTTAAAAAGAAATGCAAATGACTTTTTAAATGCAGAAACCACATTTATGAAATCTAATGCGTGAAAATAGCATAAAGGAACTGGAATAAGGATCTGGACTCTGAGCACCCAATTAACATAGTGCTGCCTCTTCTAAGAAAATTTTTACTTAGGAACTACAGCTTCAGATCCCAAATTCATAACTCAAGAATAAAATAAAGATGAATTTAAACCACTTTGCCACTTGGGATTGTCCAGAAAAGAGAATTAAAAACTAAGTGTTCTTGACAGAGAGAGTAATTCCATATGTGGGTGAGTTTATAGGGATTTGATTAAAGTACCATTTCACTAAAGAAAATAACTTGAAGAAGAAAACCACAAAGTAGCAAATTTGGAAGAAATTTTTGAGAAAGAAAATTAATGTGTAGTTCTCCCTAAAAATATCAATCTGACCAAAGCCATATTTTATCAATGAGAGAAACAAAATATAGAATGTTGAGTATTTTAGAATGCAATTTCAAAGTGCACTAAAACCCTTTGTGGATTATCCATGGCTTGATTGTAATCACAAATTGTTTCTTCTCTGTCATTTGGTAAAA